TTAAGCAGACATAAACATTCAGATTATCTGAAGCAGGAACACTGAACTGTAATTGCTTGTGTTTTTTTTTTTTTTCTGTGTTGCGTTGCTTTAATATGACCTATTCTTTTAATGTCACGTTTCATTGTATGTTTTAGACCCAGTGTCCTTCAATTTGAATGTAGTCATAAAAAGCCTCTTACCAGATTTTGTTACCATTATCTGTGTTGTTTTATCTTAGAAATATTCTGAATGAAATCTTGAATGTGAAATACCCAGCTCCCTTCCTGAATTTGCAGTCCTTACTTTGACAGCCCAGCTTAATATAATATCTTCCTACTTCGAAACCTATGATCCCTTAAGTCCCTGTTTCCATCACTGTCCTCTAGCTCCTCCCTTTATGTTTAGTGCTGTTACCCTGTTATTTCTTCTGTTGTCATTGTTGTCTTGGATTTTAGCCATTCTCCCATTGTTCTAAGCACAGGCCTTGAAACTTCATTTTGTGCATGCCTTGCATGATCCGATCCAGTATCTCTACTGGCATTGGCTTTGTTTCTTCTTCTGTGAGTGTAAATTAATATATGTATATATTTCTGTGTCTGTTCCAGTGTTAGTGTGAGGTCTTGAGGCTGCATCTACTCTGAGTCTAAAAGCAAATAAGTTGCACTTTCCATGTACTCTAGACAATGTTTTCCAGGGCTGGGATGTGACAGTGTGGTCCCACACATACATTCACATCAACTGGAAGTGCACAGCACTGAAGTTGGTTTTGATATTCAACTTAAACCTGCTGGTGACCTTCCTGCCCCCTTTTCTGCATATACATGCATGCACAGAATCTTTGCTGTATGCATGCATGTATATGTTTTTGTGTTTATCTTATGCATGATGTTTGTGTATTGTTAGTTTGTAGATAGTTTTTTTTTTTTTTTGTGGGGCCCTTTGTAGGTCTGAATCAACTTTTGTATGAATGTGTCTAAGATATCAATGACTACACTAAATAATTTTTTTTCTGTGTATACACATACCATACTTGTATGGTTTGTATTATCCACAGTTTTTATTTATTTTGTTTTTGGAAAATCCACAATATGTTTCAATTGTTTAATTGTGTTTGTACAGTGCATGTCATATGTTTAACAAGCCACTTTGCCTTGCCTTGTATGTTTTATCATCTTCCCTGTGTTTTGTTCCAGTTCGCCGTGTCCCACCAAGATTCTCTATCCCACCTACTAATCATGAAATCATGCCAGGTGGAAGTGTTAATATCACCTGTGTGGCCGTGGGGTCACCAATGCCTTATGTGAAGTGGATGTTGGGGGCAGAAGATCTGACACCTGAAGATGATATGCCAATAGGAAGAAATGTACTGGAACTGAATGATGTAAGACAGTCAGCAAACTACACCTGTGTTGCCATGTCAACACTAGGTGTCATTGAAGCAATAGCACAGATCACTGTCAAAGGTATGCTCAGTGGTTCTTGCTTTGAGGGTCTGGGTATACTCAACTCACCTGACTAATGTCTTCACAAAGTCTATCCTTGGAATTCTAAAAGGAATCAATTCATCATTCAGTATTTCAGATGCCAAAGTCTAATCATATCTATGGTACCATATAGGATACACATGTCTAGCTAGGTAGGCAGATTCTCCATTAAAAGGATTGACAGCCTAAGTAATGATAGTCATCAAAATATTTAACAATAGGCTGGGCCCATGCACTAGCCAGGCAGAATGAGGAATGTTAAATGCAGTCAACCATTTTGATAGAACTGATGCATACAGGTTTCATATTAATCCAGAATTCTGGTAAGAGTGACATGATAGATGGGGCTCCTGGGTGGCTCAGTTGGTTAAGCAACTGACCTCGGCTCAGGTCATGATCTCATGGTTTGTGGGTTCGAGCCCCATGCCGGCCTCTGTGCTGACAGCTCCGAGCCTGGAGCCTGCTTCAGATTCTGTGTCTTCCTCTCTCTCTGTTCCTCCCCTGCTCATTCTCTGTCTCTCTCTGTCTCTCAAAAATAAATAAACATGAAAAAAAAAATTTCAAGGGTGACATGATAGAAAAAGCCAAAGAAGTATTAATAAATGCTCAAATCCACGCAGACAAAAGAAAAAGAAAGATAAATAGTTAAATCAATGTGGTCTAATAATAGATGTTTTAAATTTTTGATGGTTCCTATCACAAAAATCAAAATGTAAGTGGCATTATATTCTATTTTAAATTTATCTCTTACCTTCTGTGCATAAAGTGCTCAAGAAATGTTATTTTCTTTAAATGAGTGCACTAAATATAACTAAAGTTCTATATTCCACAAATATTTTTGAAACAAAGAAAACAGAAGTAAGTGTGTGAGCCACTAATCGGTTTTATCAGTGTTTGTAGAATTCTACAACACTTTTGCAAAAAAGGGAAGACTGAAGATGCCTGGGTTCTTGCAGAAGTCTGGATCTATTGCAAAAATGAATGCAAATTGTCTTTGCTTTCCAGGAAGTATGATCCTAAAAAAAGTAATGCACATGTTATAATTGGTGTCATACCCTCACCAAGAATATATATCAAATATATGCCATATTAAAGCAATAACGCCATGAGAACAAAGATACACATCAGTGTCAACATTTAGTCATTTAAAAATAGTGACATTGTATTGCCTATCCTTAACTGTACTAAGCATACTCACACTTCTCCATACATTATAGACACAAAACCCAAACTGTACAGTAAATGTGACAGAAAAACTAATGTCTAAGTATCAGTAAACACAGTTTTAATTAGCAATATTTTCACTTGCCTGAATAATTCAGAAAGACATCTAGGGAAAATTTGGATCATCTACTCTTTTGAAAAATTCCCATCCAGAATATTTAAACAAATATCTTTTTATTATTTTCAGTAAAATCCCTTGGCCAAATATTATCATGCTAGAGTTCTTAGAGTAAAATGCAAACATTGAATCACCTCTCCTATAATAACTATTTCAGCTTTAAATATTTGAAGATTTAGTGAAGACCTTCAAGAATTTAAAATCAGGAGTCACATAAATGAAATTCTTGTTCAATTTCTTATCTTTGTTTTCCTGACTCTTGCCATTCCTTACCCTCCACACCTCAAAAGTAAATAAACATAAGGGTAAATCTTGAAGGCAAAAAGTGAATCAAACAAAAAGAGCAACTGGAAGATAGTGACTGACTCATTCATTCAGTTAGGCATTCATTTGCTTAACACTGCTGGGATTAGGTATTGAGGATAGAGCAATATTCAAGTACAAGTTTACTACTCTTAAAAAGCTGCCATTGTACTTGAGTATTGTACTTTTTGCCTTTATGTTGACAAGGGAAAAGGGTACTAAAAGGCTAATCATCTGAGTGTTATATCCTAAGCTTTTTCCAAAATGTTAGCTAATGGGATTGTCCTTTCTCCCCTACTAAAAATACCTTTCAAAATCATTCTCCAGAGTGATATGCTTAAGTATGAGGTCACCAGTGTGGATGGTTTGTATTGTTAATCAGTAGCATTTTGAGTGAGCTTCTTCTGCTAAATGTCAAGAATTGGAGCTCTAAAAGTTGGATTTAATTGCGAATATTTGCCAGGTAGCTATAATTTCAGATATTATTGGTATTGAGTATAGAATACATATTATTACCAAAACTGCTTTAAAAAGTTGTGAATGTACTGTAATTTAGTTAAGCATTTTCAAATATTAACTAAAAAACTGAATTTGAAATTAATCAATTTAAATTTACTATTCTTTCTTAAAACTCTTGGTTAGGTTATATTACTACATGTAAAAAAGATAATAATCTATGCCTTACAACTGGAAAACAAAATGGATATTATTCTTCCATAACAATTTAATGCCATTTCAATATATTCCAAATTGTGTTCTTTTCAATGTTGGTATTTAGTTATATCATTTATTTCTTGAAGCAAGGGGCTAGTTGGCCAAGGTCATGGTTATAATAATAGTAATAATTGCAACTAATGTTTTTTGAGGGTGCTGGATACATTCTAAGAGCATTACTGGAGTAGCTCATTAGTCTTTCCAGCAAACCCATGAAACAGTTCACCAACTGTACCATACAAGTTCAGTGATACAGTTTTTCCTGTTTCTCACATGAGAAAACTAAAGCAAAGAAGAGGCTATGCAGTGCATCCAGGATCACATAGCTAATAAGTGATGGACGTGGATACAAGCCCCAAAATACAGTGCTGTAATGTGCTTCTAGTAAAATTTGTCCCCTATGCATCTGTCCTACACATGTAGAAAACTATCTTTTGTTTTAATTTATTCTTCAGTAGATACATAATTCTGTCATTCCAGTAGTAGAGTTTATAGATCTTTTTAACACCTTAGATATGATGGATACTTACTGTCCCTTTTTCTCCCCCTAAGCCTTACCCAAACCTCCAGGAACGCCCGTAGTGACCGAGAGCACAGCCACAAGCATCACATTGACGTGGGACTCTGGGAACCCTGAGCCTGTCTCTTACTACATCATTCAGCATAAACCTAAAAATTCTGAGGAACCTTACAAAGAAATTGATGGGGTGGCGACCACACGCTACAGTGTCGCTGGACTAAGTCCCTACTCGGATTATGAATTCAGGGTTGTTGCTGTTAATAACATTGGGCGGGGACCTCCCAGTGAGCCTGTGCTAACACAGACCTCAGAACAAGCACCATCCAGTGCCCCACGGGATGTCCAGGCGCGGATGTTGAGTTCAACTACCATTTTAGTACAGTGGAAGGAGCCTGAGGAGCCAAATGGACAGATCCAAGGATACAGAGTTTATTATACAATGGATCCCACACAGCATGTCAACAACTGGATGAAGCATAATGTAGCTGACAGCCAAATCACTACTATTGGCAACTTAGTGCCCCAGAAAACATATTCTGTCAAAGTTCTGGCTTTTACCTCAATTGGAGATGGTCCTCTTTCAAGTGACATACAAGTCATCACTCAGACAGGAGGTAAGTCTGGTTTGGATGGGGAGTAGGGAAGGAGGGGAGGAGTTGGTGCCAAGATGTGTGAATGGTGAACAGAGAAAGAACAAAGTGAATGTGAATTTTAATTTTTGAGACTTAGAGTTTCTAAATGAGAGGTTAAGATAAGGCATCTGGAAAGAAACAGGCATGGACACCTGAAAGACTAAATAAAGTTTTAAGTAGAGGGATGCATTTAGCATATTTTTATTTTATTTTTTTATAATTTGTACCTAAACTGCTTGAAGATTTTTCTGCGTGAGATAGATGAATGCATCCTCCATGCAGCATTTTGGAAACAGGACTGTGGTGCTTTATAGTAGTGACTCTGATGGAATACTTTTACAAAATTATTTAACTTGTGAAAGATTGGATGGCTCAAGATAAGGTTAAAAATAAAATCATTTGTCAGGGGGTCTTGGACATTTAAATGTCTTATAAATATAAGAAAGGAAGCTACCCACTAAAAATAATCTCCTAAGGTTTTTTTTTTTTTTTCTTTGTATGCCTTCATAGATAGAGAAAGACAGTTATCAAGATCTGAGATCAAACTTTGGGACCTCATTGACTCATTTTATTGGGCATTAGAGTAGACATCAAACTATTTTGTGGAGAAACACTCGGCCCTTTCAGTGGTTTTATTTTCATAAGCAGATATTAAACCTCTCTGGTCTTTGATTCAAAGTGATCAATTTTGCCTTGGCTTGGGAATATGACATAACAGCTGTCTTCTAAAGTTTATTCTTGACCATCTGAGAGCTATTAATTTGGCTTCTTATTGCGCTGATGCCTTATAACTTGTGTCCATCTGAGTGTTTTGGCAGCATGCCATTGGTTTGTTCCCAGACTCTACATAGAAACTATATTTTTGGAGATAGTAGCTATAATCTGTAGGTGTAACTCATTGGTAATCTTGGAAATGATTTTTTTTCAGGTGTCAAAACTAGATAAACCTATGTTTAACCACTGAGTTGTCTTCATGTTTCATGCTTTATGAATCATATGACTCAATGTGTTTACCTATTTTCCCTGGCTACTAGAGATGTCAGAACATATTTATAGCCTGCCTGGCTTTGTTTTATTTTTATTCTGTTATTTGGTTCTCACTGGTTTGTTCATAGATTTATTATTTTCTCTAATAATATGAAAGATAACTAAAATAATACGCTTTATCACGGTTATACCTAAAAACATTCATATGTCTTCCCTACTTGGCTCTTGCAGTTCTTTTGTATTTATTTACTATATTAATATACAGAAAAACACTAGATTATTTTTTCCACATTATTTTTCCTCTCATTGGAATATGTAGAAAACAGAAAAACACTAGATTATTTTTTCCACATTATTTTTCCTCTCATTGGAATATGTAGAAATCTGTGATTCTTGTTCTTTTTGTTAACTAAAGCTGGTCAGCTGTTATGAGATTATTTTTTACTGCACTATTTTAGCAGCTCCATGGCCATTTAGAGATAAAATACACAAGAACATATACCCATGCATCACCTTTAATTTTTCTGATTTTTCAATGGTGATATTTTAAAAAAAATCTCTGGGGGCACCTGGGTGGCGCAGTCGGTTAAGCGTCCGACTTCAGCCAGGTCATGATCTCGCGGTCCGTGAGTTCGAGCCCCGCGTCGGGCTCTGGGCTGATAGCTCAGAGCCTGGAGCCTGTTTCCGATTCTGTGTCTCCCTCTCTCTCTGCCCCTCCCCCGTTCATGCTCTGTCTCTCTCTGTCTCAAAAATAAATAAAACGTTGAAAAAAAAAATTAAAAAAAAAAAAATCTCTGGTCTTGGAGTAATGTAACCAGAGTTTGAATGCCAGTCTGTCAGTTTTAGCTCTATAACCTGGGACAAGTTACTTCATTTCTCTGAACGTATTTTCTTATCTAAAATAATAATGACCTGGGGCACCTACGTGGCTCAGTCGGCTAAGCATCCCACTCTTGATTTCGGCTCAGGTCAGGGTGTCACAGTTGTGCATTTGAGCCCTGCACCAGGCTCTATCTACCCTGACAGCACGGAGCCTGCTTGGGGTTCTCTCTGTCTCCCTCTCTCTGCCCCTTCCCTCCTTGTGTGCTCATCCTCTGTCTTTCAAAATAAGTAAATAAACTTTAGAAAATAAAATAACCACCATATGGAGTTTAGAGGTTGTATTTGGTCTAGGGCTGCTGTAATGAAATACCACAGACTGGGTCGCTTAAACAACAGTCTCTCCGTTCTGGAGGCTAAAAGTCTGAGATCAAGATGTCCATAGAATTGGTTCTTTCTGAGAGCTGCGAGGGGGCTTCCAGGTCTCTCTCCTAGCTTCTGGTGCTTTGCTAGCAATCTTGGGTGCTCCTTGCCTTGTAGAGGCATAAACCTGATCTCTGCCAGCATTGTCACATCAAGTTCTCCCTGTGTGTGTGTCTCTGTGTCCAGATTTCCCCTTTGTAAGGATTCTTGTCATATGGGTTAGGGCTCAACCTAGTGACCTCACCTTAAACAATTACATCTGCAACAATCTTATTTCCAAATAAGGTCACATTCTGAGGGTTAGAAATTCAACATGTGAATTTCGGGAGGATACGCTTCAACCCTTAACAGGGGTATAGATTAGGTAATGGATAGAAACATTATATAACTTAATAAATAATATATAATCATCCTCATAATGAAAACAGTGAACATATGCCAGGCACTTTTCTATGTACTCTTAATGTATCAATTTTACTAACCAATTAGGTAGATGTGGAATTATCCCACTTGCCAATAAGTGAATTGAGAATTGACGAAGATTTAGGAACTTGTTTTGGGGTCATAAGGTTGGTAAGTGGGAAAGCAGAGTTTATTACTATTTTTTATTTTTTGGGGGGAGAAGCAGAATTTAAATCCAGGCACCCTAGCTACTTTAAGGAATTATTACTTTTAAAATAATAATTTGTTTTTTTGATAGTTTTAGTGCCTGCTAGATGTGTGTGCCAACCAGGTGCCCAGTAAATAAATAGAGGCAGGAAACATATATTCACTTACTCCTGTCTTTATTTAAGAATTATATGTAATTTACTTCTGAAATACTTGAGATGAATATTAGATTATCCCAGTGCAAAACTATTTATATGTAAAAATATTTAGATGTAAAAAAATATTTAGATGTTAAAAAAATAAACTTATCTGAAAGTAATTAAAGGAATACTTCCTTTCACAGGTTATTATACTTGATCACTAAATTTGGTTCTAAATTTTCTAACTACAAAATTAAGCAGAAATCTATAATGTTTTATAACTTTTTTTTTCTGATATGAGGAAGATTTAGCTATCTAAGATACCAAATAGTTCCTGAAACTAAATTTCAACCAAAACATCAGAATCCTTGGGAATCATGAGAATCCTTATATTCAGAACACAGAGAAGACAGACAATAATGACGTTGGTCACAATTTTCTGAAATATCTAGACTGATGTTTAAATAGACCATATTTTGGTTTTCTATGTCCCTAAGGGACATAATATAACATGAGTTACTGTGATCCAGGGACTCTGAACTCTGGATGAATGGGTTACAGATGCATTAGAATAGTCGTTCCCAATGTCTAACTATTTTTACATGATTTCCAAGAACTTTGTGTAATAGTTGTACTTTTCATACCTATTGATTGAGAAGATATGTAATGACATGTCACTAGTCATTTAGTGCCTGCCAAGATCAATAGGCTAAGAAAACCTTCCAAAATAGCACAATGATTTAATCTGTTCCCTAGGTTTAATTAACAAAGGCCATTTGATGTTGGTGGACACCTGCCAAATACAGTGATGTTAGTTCTAATGTAATTAATGCTGAGCTGCTCCTTTTTTTCTTGCTGACTAGCTATTTCTTAGGATCATAGCTGGGCAAAAACATAAAATCATTATGAAATATTATTTTAGAGAGGTCACTGCAGTTTTATCTTTCCCAAACCTATGAAAATTTACTGATTTATATGTACGAATCCCTCAAGTATATTTTAATTTCATATGTACAAATATATAAACTTCTATGTCTACTATATCTGAAAGATGCTTATTATATTTCCTTATCTTTAATTCCCTGGCACTAATAATCCTATTTTTGTTTAAAATCAGACTCTGAAGAAACAGTGTTTAGTAACAAACTGAGTTTAAGAGGAAAGTTATCTATCACTTTTGATCGCATCTAAGATTATTGTTACACATATTGATATAAACAGAGGATTGATATAAATTTATGTATTTCTGATAATATAGAAAATCAAAATATAATCTATTTTATAGTTAATAATATTTCCCCTTAATAGTGATATTCATATAGTTGATAATATTAAGTAATTTTTAGATGGTTTTAAATATGAAAATATTTTGCTTAAAATAATTATTTTCTAGAAATACCGATTAATCTTCCAATTTTTTCATAGCTTTAACTCCTTACATTACAGTCACTTGCCACTATTTAACCTTGAAAATATGGAGAATGCAGTATGTGGCCATTGTCTAGGGAAGAATTTATCTTGTGCTAGAAGATTTCCACTATTAGAATACACATTTTGGAAAAATGACTTTTTATACAGTTTTCTTGTATAGGTAATTATAACAAGAACAAACAGTAATTATACTACATAAAAGAAGTGCAATAAAACTGTGATAGAGAATGTAGTAAATTATATCTCAAACCTAATACACCAAAATGTAGCCTGATGTTCATGCTACTTGTAGGCTTTCTAAATCTGTTAAATCTTAATGTCTTTTTTCTTTTTTTAGAAAACACATCTGACCTCTGATTTTTCTGTGCATTTAATTGATTCTTGGGAAAAGTCGACTGATTTATATGCGTATATCTTAATAGTAGAGGTCTTTCGAAGGAGAAGAATTATGTATATTTACTAAATAAATACTGAGTAGTCACAACTTTAAACTTTTTCAAGAAGCAAATTCTACTCCAAATTCTGGGCATTGTAAAAATGTTATTAAAAAACTATGACATTTAGAGACATTATGTTTTAGGTTTCCAGAACTTAGTAAATCATGTCATTAATAT